AGGCCCCCAAAGTAGAGAAGTCTCATTGGTTAATCTGGCCAACTCCCAGCAGGATATTGATGGAACCTGCTGATGCCTCCTCCCTCCCCTTAAAGATTTATGTGCCCACTCGATTGGCCATCAATCATGGGACATGCTCTGTGGGCTCCAAGCTCCGGCAAGAAGCTAAGAGCAGACCAATTCATTACAGAAGCTTTGGTTCTACCGGGGGAACCCCACCCACATGACTGATTAGAAGAGCATCAACAGGACTGATAGGGCTGTATTGGTTGGTTGTGACTGTTCTGTGGAATTGTGTAACTGTGGGGGGAAAACACATCAAGCAGAGTCAAGTAATTGATTGATAAAGTGAATTGGGAACCGAGTAATTACATAACCAAAACTTAAGAGCTTTAACATAAAAACTCTGGCAGGACCTTTCGCTTGAGGGATGTTTATTTGCTTCGAATTTGCTCTTTTTCTCTACCCTTATATTTGTATTTTAAGCCAAAGATCTATCTTGCGATGGATTTAGCCAAAGAAAAAAGTGTTTCTCATTTTTAAGCAGACAGTGAGTAATGACAGAAATAAAGAACATGTAGTCCCTGCAAGGTACGGTCTATCTGTGTGCCTAAATGAAGCCAGGTCTAAAAACAAACACAGAGTAATGTTTTTCTTTTTGATAAACACACTTGCTCGGAGAGGCATTTTATCGGCTGAAGGTCAGGCAGTTGCAGCTAAGACCAGGGTGCAGACCGAATCATTTTAGATCCTTTGACTCTTCTGTAGTGAGCTCAAGAGGTGCAAATGATTTGCCAGGCAAATGGATTGCCAAAACGAAAAAAAAAAGCCCCTGACATCTCTTTGTTTGTTTGTTTGTATTGAATTGACTGTGAGCCCTAGGAAGATTAGTTGGCATGGAACAAATGGGGTCCTAATAATAAACAATGAACCAGACAGGCAAACTGCCACGCTGTTTCTTGACTATCCTTATGGTGCAGGGAAAGAGGCATGGAGGCAGCTCATGCGGAAAAGAGTAAACAAATGCAGCATAATCTCAGATCAAAGAAAAACACCTGCAAATGGGACAGAAAAAAACAAAAAAGCACAGTCTTCGCTCCCTTGTGCAATATACTCTTACCAACAGCACTGCAGCATAAAAATGTTATGGAATTTCATCACGAGAGAAATTGCAAAACAGCGTGCACCAGCACCATCGCTCTTTCCTTCCCATTTCCATTTCCTGCGGTTTGCCCACCACCGCCCCCATCGAAACATGCCCCACACAGCCAAGGCAGATACTGTCTGTTCTCCGGGGAAAAGTGCTGACTCATAGCACAAAGGCAAGCCCATCTTGCTGCGTGGGCACCGTAGCACCGCATAGGGCGCCACCAGGTGCCAAGTCAACCAGGCACCAGGCCATTTTATGTCACACCAGCTTCGTCCCTGAATTGACCTGACCAAAATCAGTGTCACACAGATCTCTGTCATTAAACAAGTACAATACTTTACCCAAAATGTTGTGCACTATGGATATGGGTAGAATGGTTCTCCAACAGCTGCATACACTGTATAAAAGAAATGTAAGACTCCTGAAGACCTTTATAAAATCACATTGGTATGTACAGTACAGTGTAGATATGGCGTAGCCTCGTAGCATGACCCGAACCTCCACAGAAATGTAACGACACTTCGCAGCAACGCAGACCGCAGCAACTGTGTATGCTCCACTCGGTGTGTGTATGCATTGTCCGAGAATGAGAGGGGACTCTTAACTAATCTATCTGTTGTTCTCACACAGACAAACAGACACACATGGGACACAATGCTCAATGCGTGACATGTTCTTGTCTGTCCCTTCATATTCCCTCGTCCTTTCATTTCACAGGTGGCAAAGAAAAAGAAGAAAAGAGAAAAGCACAAGACAGATTGGGAAAGAAACAGGTTTTAGTCAAAACTCAACACAGTGGCATAGTTACCGCACCACCAACTAGTGTTGTGCAAACTGTATTATTTGCAGAGCAAAGCAGACTACCTAGTGCACAAATATAAATGTTCATAATGGTGTAGGTCACTTGCATAGGCTAAACGTAGAGCCTATGTACAACTATAAATCAGCCTAAAAGCAAAGGAGCAGCAGTGGTGTTATTAATATTGATGAAGACTCCATTCTATTTAGGTGTCCCGGTAAGCAATGTCATCCGGCATGTGCATTACCTGGGGCCTGAAACTCTTAAATGTAATTAAGCCACTCATAATATTATTAATTATGTGTGAGCTTCAAAATGACACGAAAAAACATTCCCAAAGCTGCCATTACATTTTATACAAATCTGAGACCAACAGGAATTCTTCAACCTGGAACCACCCATCTGCAAATGTGATGTTGCCCTCTGGCAACTCATGAATACGACATTGTGATACTCATACTGTTACAAGCCACTGAAGACTGTTACCGCTGTATTCCTTCAACTTACCTTTGTTGTTGTAGACATCTAGGTAATTGGGTGCTGAGAAGATGGTGATAAGGGATGGGAAGCCAGTGGTCTGACTCTTTCTGTACATGCGATATCTGTTGTCCAAAGGAGAGGTAAGCATTAGTAAACATGACAACATTTCACTCATGGATTAATCATTGTGTTTAACCCCTGGGAAATGATTAGTAGCAACATTTTTATGGCCTCTTGTTTTCACTATGGCTGTGTGTTTGTCTTATAAGCTGATGCGTTCGGGGGGGCGCGCAATTCAGCGTAGCCTCAGTGGAGTAAATCCCCATGTTACAGGTGTAACATGCAATAGTCATTACACTGAACTGCATCAACTCAGTATTCAAACAAAACTAAACTGAGTGAATGTCTGTGCTGTCTTTGGTGGTTTGGATACGTGGAATGGAAGAGAGCTTTAGGTAAACAGTCCTAACTCAGATGATTTACTTGCTGCGCCACACTGCATTTTTGTTTTTATAAAAGGTACCAAATACAAGGTAAACATAGATGGAACTCAACAATATTATTACATGTGTGGTCTAAGGTGGCTTGGGGCAGCAATCTCATCTGAGACATGGCAAGGTGTCCCATGTGATCAGGCTGTGGGAGTGCAATAGTAAACAACTGTGCATTGTGCATCCCACCGCCTTAACCTCGCTTAAAGGAAAATCAGCTTGACACATCCACCCACCTGCCCGTTTTAAAATCCAAACTTTTCAAAGAGGCTTTCAAGTGCCTTTGTTAGAAATCCAGGGCACACTGTTAGTTCCCGATGAATAATAGACGAGGTGGGTAGTCCTAAAGCACTGGATGTGTCTGAATGTTGCGTAAACAACGTATAGTGACAACATTTCACAATCACTAAACTAAACTTTTTAAACTGTAGTTCTTGACAAGATCTGCATGAATTATACTTGTCACATCACATCTGGCCCACTAACTCCTCACGCTGGATTCATTTTCATTTCTTGGATTAACACGACTTCCCTCAGAGTTCAGACTGCAACGAACCTGCTCTCCAGACAGGCTTGAGCAAAGACCCCAGAGCACCGGGGAGGCTTTTCATTTAATACCCTGGTCTGAATCACTCTGCCATGTGACAGTGTGATGGGAGAAGACGAAATGCCACAACACTCACCCAGCATCCTGCGCTTCATGGGCCCGGATGATAGATAATAAGTTATTGTGTTGTAGAAAGTCACAGACTGCAGGGTAGCTGTTGAATAAAGAGACAAACATTTGGTTTACTCACACATCAAGAAAAACCCCAGTAAGATCAAGAAGAACGATCAATAGAAATAACTAAATAAGTCATGGGTCTTATTGATTGTTCTCAGAAAAATAGTGGCTATACAACACTGAGTTCAAGCTAAATCTGTTCTAGAACCAACTTGTTGCTCATAAGGAGGTATATTTTTCTAAAAGGTTGACTGTAAATGAAGGCTTTCATATCAATTTTAACTTTGCCTTTTTATTTAAAACAGGCCTTTTTATGTCTAAAAAACAACATTTATGTTAGAAAAGGTATGATGACTCATCTAAATAATAACCTGCTTCACTTTTAAACAAGCTTTCATACTGTAAGAGGAGTAGGTGTGATCCTTCTCAAATGGTGTATTTTATTCAAGAATGAAACTCAAAAAATGTCAAGTATGACACATGATTCATAGCAGACTGTTTCTTAAAGGAAAAAAGCGAACACTGGGGAGTCTTAAAGCATGTTTTATGCTCATGCTGATCTATTCAGTGTGTGAGCAGAGAGACCAAAACCCTTACTGCCAACTATCAAACTACAGTGAGGTTTCAGAGTTTTCCATGCTACAACCTTCCATTCCTCAGCAGCAGCTTCCACTGGAAATTTCCTTTGCTCACAATGAGAACGGCAGAAGACAACTCACTGGCAACAGCGTCTTTTAAAGAAAATTTCATGATCTCGAAAACAAGCCGCTATTAAAACGGCAATACTTCTCAGCATTGCTTCTTAGAAACTAGATTAAAACCCCCATGGGCGTCAGGATTTGTGAATCGTGGGATGCTGTGTAATGAACAGAGTGAGTGACAGCTCACAATGAATGAGTGACACCTTTGAATTACATCTGAAACACTTAGTGAATGTGGGAGGATTTTTGTCAACAATAATAGGGGCTAAATTCAAGTTGTTTCTTTTTTTTTTGCAGTTTCATCTCAATTTTTGCCTGATTAACATAAAAGTCACTTCACAGCTTTTCCAGCAATAGGGATTAAATTTAAGAGCTTTTTAAAGCTTTGAGTGTGGCAGGGAGTGGATGGATCAAATGAGGGCATCTCAGTTACAATGTGTAATATCAAACTTTTGTCATTGTGATTACTTCTATAAGTGTTAATTCTGTTTCTGTTGTAATTCTACCCAGAGATTGAAAGACTGAAAAAAACTGTACAATTAGAGACTTTAAACAATCCCAAAATACCAAAGCCAGTGAAAGAAGAAGTATATTGCTCATGCTTGTTCAATATACAGGTTATGATTTTGTACTCTGTAATTCTAGCTCAACGCCTCGGCAAAATGAGAGCAAAACAACGAACAACACCCACATGCGGCAATCAAAACCACCTATACATTTTGGATTCCGACCTTTCAGCAAAAGTCCCAGGAGATTTGTTTTGTTTTTTTCAGCAAACGCTGCACAACGAAACCAGATGTTTTTTTTAAATTGCTTTTTAGACATGATTCTGTCTCTATAATCAACACAATACACTGTTGAGGTTTCATGCTGACTGTGTTAAGTTGTTTTGGTCAAGTTTGATGCAGAGTAGACTATTATGGCAGCTTCACTGCGTCTCTGTAAATGTAAAGCCCTTAAGGGCAGGCTTCTAATAAAAGTGTTATATAAGTAAATTAACTTTAATTTGACTGGCTTGGTTTTGTATGCATGCTTATCAAACACTATGCTTGGTTTTTAAATTTAAATTGTGTGAAAACCCATCATGGGAGACTGAAATTGAAGGAGTGAGGAGACGTTCATTAACAGTCTCGGTTCATGCAAACATAAGAACGCATGCATTCCTGACAATCACAACGAACGTCTGCTGGGAGAAATGTGAAAAGAAGGGAGCAGTTGCCAAAAGGGAATTAAAAATGCAATGAGTTTTTTTTTCTTTAGAGTGGAAAAGAAATTAGCAATACATGTTTTATTTCTCATTTGATTTCCTGCGGCAGATGCAGATACATGCCATATGGAGCCGTTTGGTAGACAAGATACATTTTGGCCTAGTTTGTTTTTTGGCAGTTTGCATTTTGAGTTTAGAGCATCTCCCATCTGCCCAACAGCAGGGCACAGATGTTAATGAGCTCTTTGGACAACACGAAGAGTTGTGCAAGAAATTACTTCATCGTGTGCAATCTAAGTGGCACTTTGCATGTTCACCACGGTAAAATTCAAGCTCTTAAAATTGGTTTAATGTCAATAGCTTGTATTAATACAAATGAAAAAAAAGATGTAAAGAAAATTACTTTAGGCTGATTCATCTACGCTGCTGAGTGGGGGCTGAAATGAAAGCAACCATATTTAAAACATGTGCAATTTCATGCCTGAATTGCATTTGTAAAAGTGTTACGAGCGTGCCTACGGCGCTGGGGGAAATTATTGGTTGCTGCAAGACAGAAGCAACAAAGAAAGCTGATGGTTTTTGGGGAGGGGTGTTGAGGAATGGCTCTCTCTCAGTCTGGTTTAAACTGTCTCATAAATCCTGAATGCCAGTGTGATGCCAATTAGCGACCATCCCCTGGGCAGATGAAGGGGAGGACACTGATGAAAACAAGACTCCAGAGGAATTTTGACCAAATGGCACAAGGTTAACCAGGATGCTGGTACAACACAAACATGTGTCAGTCAGTCGTTTGAGGTAAAAAGGCCACATATGTATATTTAGTAACTTGACAACATTAGTGGGCAAACATTCTTTTAACACAGAACCAGATATGGATTTGCACTGTCGGCTCACAAACACTAACAAAAGATATAAAAACAATATGGCAAAATATGCCCTTATAAATCCACAACAACAGCAGTGCTGGGAGTTTCAAAGCATGGCCATTAAAACACTATTAAGTCAGTAGTTATGAAACACCTGTTAAAAAACAAGAAGAGAAAATGCATATCAGGAGGCCTCCAGACTTCTGCTGGCTTGCCCAAGGCATGTCGGGGCCAAGTAAGCATCACTTAGACCATAATGAGCAGAGGGAGCGCACTTAGAGACAGGACTGTGCCTTGTGGTAATGTGCCAGTTCATTACATTTTGTGACAGTGCGAGCTGCCTGCTTCGAGCATTTCCTCTGTTTGTTCGGTTACTCAGCTCAATTGAAGGTAATGTGGGTTACATAAATAGTGGCGACCGTCTAAGGAGGAGACTTTGGGACTACTCGAAAGCACGGCATGTTCTAACAACTGTTGGTCTCCTACTCACAGTTGAGGAATTGCAGAGATGAGAAATGGAAATTTGGCAGCAGGGGTTTCTTGATTTATTAACTCTTTGACAAGATGATGGTTATTTCTTTTCCATTTTTGTTTTAAAGCATTTGTTTATGGTTACTGAAGTACTTCACCAACTTCGATATCTGTCTTTATGTTTAAATAGTTTGTCTTGGAAAATGTTCATTGTATTGAGAATCACTTTAGCAATTAAGGTTTCCACAGATTGTACAGCCAAAACTAATCAGTATGATTTGTTTTTTCCTGAAAGTTGTCAAAAGACCAAATTAGAAGACTAGCTTTTGGAAATACAGCTACTAAGATAATTTTTTTAATGCGATGGTCCAATATAAAACATAATGTTGGCTTAATATGAGAACATTGCAGATGGTATTTGATGCCAGTAGTGAATAAAAGCTGTTATCTATTCCACTGTTACCTGAAATCCTTTATGGGATTTTCCAAAATAGTAAAAAAAAAATCTTAAAACATCACATTACACCAATTGTAAGAGACAAAATACTCACCTGTAGAAGTAGGAACAGCCTCGCACTGTGTTGTGTGTGAAATGCTCTTGGCTCTTCTCGTTCCCAAAGTCCTCCAGGGGGTCGGACCACAGCAGGTCGCACATTGGTCCGTATGCTGGAGGCTCTTTGAATCTGTCTAGCTGTGGAAGAAAAAGAAAAAGAAGAAATCCTGTCAGCCTGTTTGACTGGAAAAAGTGCACATGGAGTGTGTGCATACGTACTGCAGAGAAAATATTTTTGCTCCCTCTGTGAGAGCTACGTTGGTGGCTGCTGCTGCCACGATCATAATTAAAGCGTGATTCCAACTAACATGTTTGCTGAACTGATTTTTAATTCTATTCAAGACAGAAAGGATATACAGTATGGATGACGTGCCAAAGACAGCGCTCATCTTTCAGTACCTAAATTTTCTTTTTTTTTTTTGAGAGAGAGACATGAAAAAGAAAAAAAACTCAGGCAGCCATTCTTTTGGAGCAATGAACATAAATGACTTTGCTTTCAGCCAAGGATGACTCTTTCTCGAACAAAAGCTTGTGGATTACTGGATGGGTAGCATGATGGACACTTCAATAGAGCAAATTCTATTATGCATGCCCTCTGATTGCAGCCACAAAATCCATTTGGAATTATTGAATTAGTTTGAAAGCAGGATCCGACTCTTCAACATTTTTTAATCAGAGTGAGGACCAGACCCGGTGCTTACAATCCCTGGTGTCCAGGTCCTGAGCTGTATTTGAGACCGATCTGGGAGAATCACTTCATGCATTGCAACTAAGGTTGTTATTTTCACAGCACATCACGTTAAAACGAATACAGTTTTTTCCTCATTAACTTTGAATGAAAGCAGACAATACATGAAGCGGAAAGGAAGCTCCAATTTTCAACAAATGATCTGTATGTCCTCAATGGAACACCTGCTGTTAAAAACGCACACACACAAATGAAATTATAGAGAAAATGGTCTCAAATCAGACACATACTTTCCTGATGTCGTCAAGATTTGTGATTTCTGGAGACAGTCCTCCGTGTACACACAGGAACTGCTGGTTCATAAGTGCAGCCAGGGGAAGGCAGTCGAAGGCGTCCATACATGCGTCATACACCCTCTCTGAATACTTAATTCTACCTGTCAGGGGGGAAACAGGGCAGGGAAAGGAGAGCATGCCAAGTCAAACAACACAGCTCTCATACATTGGGGCAGTGTGCTGCTAGACTGGGACGGAAAGGCTATCCAAAGTGCCAAAAAACTTCCCAAACACATTTTAAAAACAGCACAATTTCACAGAGCTTTTGTGTTTTTTTCCCCTACTCCATCTGAGTCCAACAGAAATAGTTCTGACATGTGTAAACATCAAGAAGGGCACAAATCTGACTGAATCATGTACCAGGCCAGAGGGCACTTTTGAGGTTGATGGCTGAACTGGATGCATAATACAGGCTTTCAGAAAGAATAACTCCACTCTGTACAGACATTCACAGACCAGATCAAAGGTAAGAAAGGTGCCAAAGCATTACTTACATTCCTGCTTAAATGTGAAATACTCTGTTAAATGTCTACATTCATGATTCCCACGCAGCAAAAACAGTGTTTTGGGGTAAAGGATCTTTAAGGCCCACAAGTACAGCACACACTGCAACAAAGAAGAAGAAAAAGGATTGGGGAACAGTTAGCCTGTCATCTTCAAATAACACTGAAAACATAAACCATCAAGTCAGACTTTGTCAATTTCACAGTGGAATAATACAAGTAATTTTGCTTATAATGAAACATTTATGCAGTACATTTTGTGGCACATTTCAGGCTTGCTGGAAGAGATGACAAACATCCAGAGGAACCATCAGCAGACAGGCACGGCACACTCCATTAAAATATGTTTTATTAATAAAAGTCTAATGTTTCAGGCAATGAGATGGCAGGAAACATATCGAAGTAAATTCCAACCAAATACCCGGATTAAATACATGCATTTTGCTTCATATTAAAAATCTCTCTGCACATAACCCTGAGCTACACCGTGACATTTGCTATCCAGGCTACATTTGAAGTTATTACAAAAGCCTATTACCACGCCAATATCTGCAGCCTGATTTGATCTATGCTCAAAGAAAGCTATTAATAAACACAGCTTCAGTTGGGCACATGGTGCGTGTCACACTTGATTAGGCCCTTGTGAGAACAAAAAAATAAATAAAAAAATACACATACAAATACTCACTTCAATACTGAAATACCCTCTGTCAACGTAGTCCCCCAGGAAAAGGTAGCGTGTGGATGCTGGTGATCCTCCTACTTCAAACAGTTTCATCAGGTCAAAGAACTGCCCATGGATGTCTCCACACACTGGAATAAGTCAGAAAGAGGAACAAAAACATATCAGGACAGTAGCTATTTTTACAGCTGAGAAACATCAGATGAAAGCCTCTATAATACTGTGAGAGGCTATTTGCTTATTTCCATATTTTCCATCAGATGTGAAGAGCTCCGACAATTTACGATATCCTAGTAAACCTGGAACACAGGACCACAGGACCACAGAGGATGCCACATATATATGTAGTATCCTTGACTCTGGATTTTAGTGGATATTCATTACCATAGAAACAATATTCTATCTGGTAGTATACATACACACACATCATTTTTAATCTGTTTATTTTATTAAGGTGAAATATATTTGTATAAACTGCTCATTTGTAACTGAAAAAGGCATAGTTATACAGTAGGACCACTGATCCTCCTCAGCTCTCCAGCCTACGCTTACTTCAGGGAATTATGCATACAATTGAACAGAAAAGAACATGAAAACAACACTGATTTGTACCAGAGGAGTTCTTCTAAAAAAACCCCAACACAAAC